TCTCTCAGGAAAAGGGTCCATTGATTTATGTATATATATTTTTTACTTCATTCATAACCTTCCTTCTCCCTGATGGGGACCCAAAGCAGCCCACGTTTGTTCTCCTGTCCTTCATTTTATCCTCACAACAACCCTGTGAAGTAGGCTAAGCTGTATTTGACTGGTCCATGGTCACCCAACAAGCTTCCATGGTTGAGCAGGGATTTGAATCTGGGTCTCTCAGATCCTGTGCTGACATTCTGACCACCGTATCGCACTGGTAAAAGTGTTATCGAAGGCATAACTTTTCATGTGCAAGCACACTTTTCCAGATACATTGAAATAGTGTTTCCTCAACCATTACATATGGGTAATAGTAATAGATAATATGTAGTGGTTGAGGAAATTCTATTTCACTGTATCCGAGGAAGTGTGCTTGCACATGAAAGCGTATACCTTGAATAAAACTTGGTTGGTCTTAAAGGTGCCGCTGAACTCAAACTTTGTTCTGCTGCTTCAGACCAACACAGCTACTCACCTGAATCTATCTTCATGGCAAAAGAGTATGTGTTTGTATTGGCAGCGAATCCTTTCAGAAAAGACAGATCTTCACATGATCAGAGACACTTTGCGCCCTAATATTACTTATTATTTCAGATTATCCAAAACTCAGCCCTGCCAGCTCTGGGTTGGGAAATACCTGGGGATTTTAAGGGTGGAGCTTGAGGGGGTGGGGTTTGGGGAGGGGATGGCCATTTTCTTTGAACTGATGAACTGACCTCTGTCACCTGGAGATGAGTTGTAATCCCAGGCACTCTCCAGCCACTGCCAGGAGGTTGGCAACCATACCTGGCACCCAAAAACCCATTCCAGGGCTTGAAATTATATCCTGTGGTCCGATCATGCCGCATGCCTAGGCAGTTTTGCATAGGCCTGTGTTTCCCCGAACATCTTATGGGAACATCGCTATAATCAATTTTCCTTTCTTTAGAATTTTCCTTAGAAGAACACAGCACAAACTCCTACAGCCATCTGTTGGGAACTTCCGTGGCACTCAACACTCACTCAAACTTGGCTGCCACGTGAAAGCATGTGAGGAGATGAGTTGTAATCCCAGGCACTCTCCAGCCACTGCCAGGAGGTTGGCAACCATACCTGGCACCCAAAAACCCATTCCAGGGCTTGAAATTATATCCTGTGGTCCAGTCATGCCACATGGCCAGGCAATTTTGCATAGGTCTGTGTTTCCCTGAAAATTTCATGGGAACATCGCTATGATCAGTTTTCCTTTCTTTAGAATTTTCCTTCGAAGAACGCAACACAAACTCCTACAGCCATCTGTTGGGAGCTTCCGTGCACTCAACACTCACTCAAACCTGGCTGCCACGTGAAATCATGTGAGGAAGTGGTTGAGTCTGGGATTCTGCGAGCTGTCACTTTTTGGGCTCCCCTTTTCGGGGCCCCCACCCCACCCCTTCATCAAAGAGACAGAGTTTTTGCAAGATTGGTCTGGAATTTTAGACAAGAGGTCTGGCTCTGGTTTTCATAGTCCTCCTTTTTGCTCTTTATTTTCATTGAGATTTTCACCAGCTACCTTGCAAAATCCTTTAAGATAAACATTTCTACTCTCAACTGTCAGAAGTTCTCTTGGGTCTCATGTGGGAGCTCTTCCGCATCATCCCTTCCCACCTGATTCTGGTGATCCTGCAAAATCAACCTGGGAACTTTTGCACGCCAAGCAGATTCTCTCCTGCTGAGCCGTAGCTGCAGCTCCGCACACAAAACTACCTTGCACGGAGTCAGACCACTGGTCTATCAAGATCAGCATCGCCTGCTCTGGCTGGCAGCAACTCTCCAGGGTCTCAGGCGGAGGCCACCTGATCCTTTCAGCTAGAGAATCACAGACAGTGATGTGGGATTCACTGCCAGACGATGTAATGATGGCCACAGGAATAAACCGCTTTAAAAGTGGATTAAGTAGGTTCATGGAGGATAGGTCTATCAATGTCTACGAGCTGTGGTGACTCAGGGGAACCTCCACATCCAGAGGCACTAACCCTCTGAATCCCAGAGCCAGGAGGCAACATCAAGCGAAGTCCTCAGCCTCCATGCCCTGTTGTTGGCCCTCCAGAGGAACTGGTTGGCCACTGTGTGAGACAAGATGCTGGACAAGATAGACCATGGGTCTGATCCAGCAGGGCTCTTCTTATGTTCTTGAAGCAGAACTATGGCCTTGTGTCACTCAGCTCATAGTTTTAAGGAGCAAGCTATTATTTATTTATTGAATTTGTTAATCGCCCTACCCCAGCTGACGCCGGGCTCTGGGCGATGTACATAAAGGCATCGTACCATAAAAACATATACGACATTCAAATCCCACTAAGCAATTTGATAGAACTAAAGACCCAAATAGAGTCCACGATGATGGCATCTGAAAATTCCTACCCCCAGCTCTGGACTACTAAGCCAGTTTCTGGGCAGGGGGAGAGGGAACTCATAACAGCAATTCAGAGTGGGGGGGGAAGGGAGGGGTGCCAGCCAAGGGAAAACCATTGCTGCCCTCAACCAAAAGCCTGGTAGCACATCTCTGCCTTACAGGCCCTGCGGAATTGCACAAGATCCCGCAGGGCCCTGGTGTCATTTGGCAGAGAGTTCCACCAGGTCGGAGCCAGTACTGAAAAGGCCCTGGTCAAGAACAGCCGGACATCCCTAGAGCCGGGGATCACCAGCAGATTGTTATCAGTAGGGCACAAGTCTCTTGCGGGGACATACCGGAGGAGATGGTCCTGTAGATATATTGGTCCCATACCGCTCAAGGTCCTGAAGGTCAATACCAAGTCCGTGAACCTGGCTCGGTATCCTACTGGAAGCCAGTGTAGCTGGTGCAGCACAGGCCGAATATGTGCCATCCGTGACGTTCCTGCCAGGACTCACGCCGCCACATTCTGGATCAGCTGGAGTTTCCGGATCAGTCTCAAGGGCAGGCCAGCGTAGAGCGAGTTACAGTAGTCTAGCCTGGAGGTGACCGTCGCATGGATTACCGTAGCTAGGTCCAGGCATGACAATAAAAGAGCCAGTTGCAGAGCTTGGCGAAGATGGAAAAACACCAGCCTGCCTATTTATAGGAAATGCCTGAGGATTAATACTGAGCCAGTGAAGAACGAATCGAAGTATAACAAAATGTGTCAGAACGAATGCTGATCTGGATCCACCCGTACACATCCCAGAGCCGCTTGGGATTTCGACCACCAAATGGGGTTTCGCCTGGAAACCATCATTTTCAGAGATGAGTCTTTGACATGTTACAATGGAAACTTTGTAATTGACACTTAATCGGTCTCTGGAGAAACAAGACCAATTAATATGTCTGTTGAGCATGTGGTTGCTACTTGGAAATCTTACATGTGTCATCCTCCTTGCCTGTGGTTATGTGTAGCCGAGCCAAGGAAGAATCTGGATCGTGTCTGTGCGGCTCTTGAAACTGTACAGTCCCATGATTCTAATTAGCACTTTGTGCAGTACAGCATTGGAGGGTGGGGAACCCTGAGGCTGGATCCAACTGGGTTTTAGGCTGGTAAGAATGGAAGGAAGGGTCACACACGAACACACATGAAGCTGCCTTATACTGAATCAGACCCTTGGTCCATCAATATTGTCTGCTCAGACAGGCAGCAGCTCTCCAGGGTCTCAGGCAGAGGTCTTTCCGATCACCTACTCTCTGATCTTAACTGGAGATGCCAGGGATTGAACCTGGGACCTTTTGCATGCCAAGCAGAGGCTCTTCCACTGAGCCACAGCCTCCTTGTGAGCCCTCCTTTCCATGAAGGGGTTCACAGGCAGAGGTCATTTCGGGGGGAAACGCGGGGGAACACAGTTCCCCTGGGTGAGGTGCAGGGGGGTGGGGTGCATGATGAAGCCCCGCCCCCTGCTTCTGGCCGCCCCGCTTCCAGCCCTCATTCAGTCAGGAGGAGGCAGGAGAAGAGGGAGGGTAAGTTGCTTCCTCCCCGCCTCTCCCCACCCCTGCTTGCCTGGGGCCAGGGAGGGCCTTGGCGGGGCTTCCTCGCACTCCCGCTGGCCTTGCAGGTCCACTGCCGGGCCCCTGATGTCAGGGTGTGTGGCATATGCTAATGAGTTATGCTAATGAGTTCCCCTAGCTCTTTTTCTACAAAATGACCCCTGTTCACAGGACCTGCATGAACAAATCCATGTGGGATGGGAGCTATTCCATTATCGTTGAGTAACTGCACCCAACTTCTGTCTCTCTATACATTCCCCCCCCCTTCTTCCAAGGATCTCAGGGCAGGTAACCAATGCTCCCTCTAAGCTGTGGAGTCTTGTGAGCAAAAATTCCACTTTGTGAGCTCCTGGCATTAAAGTTGTGAGCCAGCGATTTGGCTGCTGCATAAATTAGTTTGCTCTGGAGCACTCCTTCCTGAGCAAAGACAAAAATCTGTGAGCTGGAGGCTAAAAAACTGTGAGCTCGCTCACACTAACTCAGCTTAGAGGGAACACTAGACGGGAGCTGTAGTGAGAACTGGGGAAGACGGAGTGAAAAAAGCTAGACCCCAATTTTAAAGATTTGGAAAACGATCAAAGTCAAGGAGACAAAAAAGGTTTTGCATTTTTAAAACTGGACACAAGGTTCTGGCAACCGTGCTGAGGAAATACTAGCTATCTGCTCCCGTCCTCCTTCGCCTCGCCAGTTTTGTTTTCTTTTTGCTGTTGTCCAGGAATGAAACAAGTGAGAAAAGTGTGCGTGAAGAGAAACACTGTTTGGCATGTTCAGGCCACAGCCGCCCTCCCAGCCGCCCACAGGATTCCTGGCTTTCTGCAGACAAATTGGTAGGAAGCAGTCCTCGCCCCCCCTCTCCTCTTGACACACACACACACACACACACACACACACACACACCGGGCCCTTCCCACTCCCCATCATTGGCTGGCCGGTTTCTAAGAAGCAATTTAAAAAGGAGACTAATTTCGCCTGGCTGAAGATTCCAGAGGACCCGAGTGCTGGAGACCTTCCCACGGCTGCCTGCCGCCATGCAGACCTCCCCGGCCGTCTGCTCCATCTGCCTCCTGCTCCAGATTGCCTTCCCTGCTGGGAAAGGGTGGCAAGTGCTTAAAAATGATGCCACGGAGATCATTCCCGAGTACACCGAGATGCCGGCGGAGGACCAGCAGCCCTACACCCAAAGCGAGAATGACACCATGAGCAACCGGGCACAGCAAGGAGAGAGGCACCCCCAGGTTTCTCTGGGCCAGATCGGTAAGGAAAACAGAGGCACCTCTGGGCTTTCCGGTGCGCGGGAACATCTGGACCGGCTGGGGTGCTGCGGTGGCAGTGGACAGTGCCATCAGGTCAAAACTGACGTATGCCAACCGTGCAGGGTTTTCAAGGCAAGAGAGATTCAGAGGTGGTTTGCCATTGCCTGCCTCTGTGTCATGACCCTGGTGTTCCTTGGAGGTCTCCCGTCCGAATGCAGGGCCGGCCCTGCTTAGCTTCTGATGAGATCGGGCTAGCTTGGGCTGTAGGTTCTGGGGGCATACGACAGGTCCCTTTTGTGGCAGGATTTGCTAGCGGTTTGGTGACGAGAGCCCTTTTTAACTGGAGCGCTGTCATCACTTGCCTTGCTCAGTGAGAATCTGACAAAGAACTCTGTGTGACATGGAAGCTTTCACATTCAGTGACCCAGTAAAAATCGTTTTGTCATTTTTTGTGGGGGGGTCACTGACTAGCCAGTGTCATGCGTAAAGCTACTCTGACAAATGTTGCCTTCATCTGCAAACCTAACTGCAGAAATCTCAGTTGCATAACAAAGGGCTCTCCTTAGCTTTCTGTTTCCCATGAGAAACGGCTAGATGTTAATGTTAACTCTGCAAAACTGGCTCAAGGCCTTGAATGTCATGTGCCCCTGTGCCTTCCACTTAGGCTGGGTCGGCACCCTCTTCTTTCCCTGTTCTGGGATCTGCTAGTGCTTTATGTACCTTATCTGGAGCCAATGACCTCATTAAGGCTAAGCTGCTAGTATTTATGATGGCTCAGCATGAAACAATTACTTCCCTAGTGGTAGAAAAGAGCAAGAGCCCAGTAGCACCTTAAAGACGAACAGAATTTGTGGCAGGGGATGAGCTTCCGTGAGTCGCTGCTCACTTCTTCAGATACAGCGAGAATGTGAGTCCACCCGTCCTTATATCTTGGAGAGTGGAGTGATTTCAGAGGCCGACTAACACCCATCTTGAGTTATTTCCCTGTAATTCTCCATGCACATGCTGAGGAACTATGTTTCTCCTCAGATGGTGGCGATAGTAGTGGTGGTGGGTGAAGTCAGTGTGGTATAGTTATTACAATGTTGGACTAGGATCTGGAAGAGCCAGGTCTGAATCCCCACTCTGCCATGGAAGCTGGCTGAGTAACCTCGGGCCAGTCACGTACTCTCAGCCTAACGTCCCTCACAGGGTTGTTGTGAGGATAAGGTGCAGGAGTGGAGAATAACAGAAGCCGCTTTGGGTCCCCACGTAAATGCTTGTTAAGGGATGAAGCTGCAGCACTCTTCCTTGACGGGTTCGTTTGCAAGCAGGTACCCTTTCCTGGGAGCAGTTTTGCTTCCCCTGTAGGCATGATAGATTGGGGTGCTTACTCACAAGTAATCCATGCCCTCCCTTACGAAGGTGCAGGCTGCAAATGTGCAGAACACAACAAGAGTTGGCATGCTTCCCTTCTCTCTTATGTCCCAGAAGGAAAAGTGATCAAAAGAGTTGGATTTTGGGAAATGTCCCAACAGTATCTTTCTTCCCTCTTGCGTAGGCTGAGCCACCACTCTGCCCAGGGCTGGACAGCAGAGATTGCATGCACTAAAGGAGCCTGGATTCCCCAAGGAAGAGCTACATATCAGGATGTTCCACAGGAAACTGGGCATTCCAGGGGAATATTAGCATAGAAGATGATTTGTTGCCTATTGAAATAACTTGTTGCAGAACGAAACTCAGTTGATAGGAAATGGAGCTGCTTCTTAATTTCATCATGGGTCTTTTTCCAATGGATATTTATTTTTGGTGGTTTATAAACGAGGCGAGAAGGGAAGGCGGCACGGTATGGCTCCATTTCAACAGATCTTGAAAGCTAAGCAGGGCTGGTACTTGGAAGGGAGACCGCCAAGGAAGGCTCTGCAGAGGAAGACCATGGCCAACCACCTCTGCTTCTCCCTTGCCTTGGAAGCCCCTTGCTGCAGTCACCATAAGTCTGCTGTGACTTGATGGCACTTTACACACAGGGTGTTTCCACACACACTAAGTAACCCACTTCCAATCTACTTCCAGTGCACTTTCCAACTAGATGTTACTGTGTGAACTGGCAAAATCCAGTTGGAAAGTGCACTGGAAGTGGATTCAAAGTGGATTGTTTCGTGTGTGTGACCGCAGCC